CCCGCTGGCCCCTCTATTTTTTTTTTTTCTTCCCATGCTGCCCAAAGACTGCATGACAGCCAAGCACAATTTCGCCTCCCCCCTTTTCCTTTTTCCCCATTGCCCGCCAATGACCAAATTTCACCATGCAAGACTTGGCCCGACCCTCGCCGCACCAGACCAGTAATCGCGCCAAAGAATGACGCTTGGTCCCACTGTCGGCGCTGTCCCCTACCCACAGGCTCGGCAACCAGCTTCGCTCTCTGCCAGAAGAATCACCGCCGCCACGCAGCAGCGTCGTGGTAGCGTCCTCCGTTGCCCTCGGCCTCGTTAAAAGCAGCCGAGCCCCCCCCGCCGCGCCCTGCTGCCCGCTCCATTTTCGCCTCGTCCGGCCAAGAATCGCCGCGACGGAGGAGCCCCGCTGACCACCGATCTCGCCGTCCGCGTCGCCGTGCCGTCTCCGAGCCCATCACCGCCTCCGATTTTCGCCCGTGGTGAGCTCGCCGTGGTCCCTCTCCCTCCCCATGCGTTTCGTTTTAGCGTTTACGTGGCTTTTAGCGCCCTTTCCGCAGAGACGTCCATGAGCTCCATGCCGCCGGTCATGGTGTCCGCCGCCCGGCCTTCCCTCCGGCGATTTCTTGGCATGGACGTGTTCGCTCGCTCCCCCTCATTCGCCCGGTGCTTTTGGTTCTTAGAACCATGGGCGTCAGAGGCCTTACTTACTGCTGCCGCCGATGAGCTTCACGCCGCCGCCATGGCTTGCCTCACGGAGTCACTTGTTCGGGCCACGGCCGAAACCCCCAGCTAATCCGAACCGTCCATCAGCGCGATCAACGGCCGGAAATAGAAGATATACCCTTCGGGGTAAATTTGCTAAAGAGTCCTCGGATTTTTCTAAGTCCTAACCCGCCGTCCTTCCTTAGCGTATTTCCCCGAATCGCAATCCCGTTTAGAAAGCGTAAACTTCACTTTGCTTAAGTCAAAAGTACGCTTTCAATTTTTCTGAAAATGTCATTCGAATGTTTAAGCTTATAGAATTGTCGTTTTAACTCGAATTGATCCATTCAAATCGCGTTAGCTTCGTAATTTCATAAGCTACATGTTGGAGCTACTGTTAGTCAAGTTTGGAACTTTTTAATTTCATGATTAGAATTAATTAAATATAGGGCTACTGGAAAACCCGTTTTAATCATAACTTTCGCATTTTAGCTCCGTTTCTCGTGAACTTCGCGTTGACGTGATCGTAGAGAAACGTAGATTAGTTTTACACACATTTTATTTTGATTTCAATACTGTTGGTGTACTGTTCTAATGATAGGAATGTTTGCTTTGCATGAATGCTTTTGGAATGTTGTATGTTGCCATGTTGGTCGCGTTCAGACGGTGAGGAAAACGTTGGAGACCAAGAACTCTTCGACGACCAGCAGGAACAGCACGAGTTTGTGAACCAAGGCAAGTATAACATGGGCCTTCCTTGATGTCCTATTTCACTTTAATCAATTACTCATTTGCATGTGTCTAATTTTGATACCCGTAAGGACATCCTAGTGATTGTTTATCCTGTTCCTTGTATCCTATGGGTTAAATGCATATGGGTAGATTGCTAGTGCTCTAACTGAACTTGATATACCTGTTGATGAAAGATACTATGGAACAAAGTGAGTAACATGATTTATAACAACTGTTCCATAGGGCGAAAGGGCAAATGACCTTTGTTCATGTTGCTTCCGGCCCTCCATAAGGACTTATCTGTCGGCAAAAGCTGGGATTGACAGTGCAACCGGGAGAGTCATATGGCTCTGACTTTAGCTCAGTAATAGGACCTTTTCTAGCTAGTTAGAGGTTACCTTTTTGGCGCAAATGGGGCTTGCCACGTTGGGTATAGGACTGCCTCTGTTCCTATGTGTATAGCCGCGATGGATATGTGCCATAGGAAAGGGGGGTTCCTACATCTGCCTGCCAAGGAAACCTAGCGGCCCCAACTTGTTAGGGAAACCTATGAAATGGCTTCATAGTGTACCATGCCCGCTCACCTTGGAAGTGACATAGGAGTAATTAACCCGGGCATATGGGGATCACGACTCGCGGTGAATGTGCACCACCTCTGCAGAGGGTAACAAACTGTTATAACAGCCGTGCTCGCGGTTACGAGCGGCCCGGAAAACTCACAGAATAACTGGATACTTGATGATGATCTTATAAAGTTGTTTAGTGATGATATATGGTACATATGACTCCGATATATGTTCTTATGGGAATTAAATGGGAGCTTAAGCATAACTTGATAATACTTGAGAATAAAAGCTTGACCTAGTAAAAATGCTAACTGTAGTTAACCAGAGTCTAACCTTTTGAGCTTCATAACCCCATGTTAGCTTGCTAAGTACGGAATGTACTTACACTTGTTTATTTTCTTTACTTGGATAAAAATCCCGGATGGGTAACAGATGACAACGGGTATGAGGATTTCCCGGAGGATTATTAGGCTTGTGGTCAACCAGTTGACCTTCCCTGTGAAGACGGCCACGATTGTTTTATCATCTTTTTATTATTCCGCTGTGATGTATAAGACTAAGTTTTATTATAACTCTGATGTATGAGACACCGTGATGATACTTTATGTAATTTGTCAGCTTGTGTGTGTGATTGATTCCTGGGCACACACGAGTTTTGTGCATTCAATTTTATCCTTAAAATTGGGTGTGACAGTTAGCCATGCGAGTAAGAGCCCACCAGGTAAAGATGCTGAGTTTCCTTCTATTAGGCCCAGGTTGGCCAAGTTATTTATTAGGGTCTGCGTTCCTCTCGAGAAAGACTAGCGCCCGTACGTCCGGATGCTTGCGCCTACTGCCTGCCCATGCGCCTGACGTGCTCCATCTGCATGCGGCAGGAAACGGCGCAGACGACGCACTTTCCTAGATGCATACGACCAACAGAAGGGATGTGTGCACCGCGCCTCCACCTCCCACATTGTCTGGGTGGGCCCCACATCGCATGCATGCAGCTCCTGCCCGCCCACCTGTCGTCGCCGTGCACTGCTGCTGCGCCTGCTACTGTGGTACCCATGTGCCTGCGCATGCATGTGGGGGCTGCCGCGCCCACTTCGCTTCCCGCACGCATGCGGGGATCGCTACACCCGACGGGACCACCTCCGTCTGCGCCCACTTCCTGTGCCTGGTCGTGCAACACTTGCAACACAAAGCATTTGCTACGTCCAAAACAAATAAAACATTTACAAACATACGCTTGCAACATATGTGTGGCCGCTACAACATATGCAACATATAGATAAAACACTTGCAACATACGTTTAAAACAACTAAAACATTTGAAACATACAATGACAATATACGTATATAGCCAGTGCAACATATGGATAAAACACTTGCAATATACGTTTGAAACTGCCGAAACATTTGAAACATACACTAGCAACATACTTGTATAGTCATTGTAACATATACAACATCCAGATGAAACACATGTAACATTCAGATAAAAACATACATCTAAAACGCATAAAACATATGGAGCTAGATGCCATGGATTGACGAAAAAATTTGAGCCAACACTCAGCTGCCATGCAGATGTGGGCCCGCGCTCCTCTCACAAACATGCAAGCGGCTTTGCCAGTCCTACAACTGGCTAAGCACCTAAGCCGGTCGGGCAAAGCAGCAACGTGGTAGGGGAAAATAGGCCTGGCAAGGGCAGGCACGCCAGAGAGGCCTACGACCCTGGGCGCGTGCGGCTAGGGGCCTAGCGATGGACCCAAACGAGAGCCGCACGCGCTCCTATGGTGCGGACCCCACTGTAACTACACACCCCTTTATTTATTGGTCGTAACGCGCGCGGGGTGGGTCCGTCCGCCCGTCCTCAATCAAGCTTTACCGTTTGAGAAATATATGTATGGCAAAGGTAGTTACCAAGAGGTTGTATTTGATCAAAGTCACAACCAAACGAAGTAGTATTGTGAAACCTAAACCCAAAATGGGTCTCTAACACAATAGCTATAGCCTCCAACAGAGTACCTATATGGAAGACCCATTTTGGGTGTCAGGAGAGGCATAACCCAAATCTGAGTATCCTCTCTCTTGGAGACCCATTTGCAAAAGGGTTGTCTTTTCGGTCTTGTTGTTGGAGAAGACCAGAAATATGTATTGAACCATTTGTCAGTAGCGCTACCCAAAGAACAAATGGATCTTGTATTTTGGATGTCTTGTATTTTGGGTCGTGGTTGTCGGAACGGTCCGAGGGCCGTTTAGAAGATCAATTTGTGGGCGTTGCTGCAAAACTGATCATGCAAAGGCGCTTCTATGACCTCACATTCTGTTCATGACGCCGTGGCTTAACAAGAATCTTGTTTGATTTGCACACGGTAAATGAGTAGAGTGATGCTGTTTATGTGTGGGTTATATCACTGGACAAGAGTAGCAAGCACAGAGAGAGAGAGAGACTCCCACAGCATAACATAGGCCGTATATATAAATGAAGTGAAATAAAAACAGAGCTGGTCAAGTTCCTTAACAAATGGGTACATTCTCACAGGTCACTGATCATCACTGGAAGGGGCCTCTCCAAAACGAACAAGACTGATAAGGGACAAGCATGTCTTTCCCTTGTTGCACCCTGCAGCCTTGGCTCGTCGACCAATGCTTCAGAAGTCAGAATACACAAGCATGTCTTCCATTCTCACTCACATCCCACAAGGAATAGCGAGCAAATCGAATTCTGGACGCCTGGCGAGTTTCTGTCTATTCTACATTTCTACCTCTACCCTAATCTATCAAAACTTATCCCAACCCCTTCACAGTACTGAGGGTATGCAGCCTCAACAGACCAATAGACCATGCAAGCTCTCAAGAGTCAAGACTGTCGGGCCTGTTCGGCTGCAATAAAAAGCAGCTGCTGCAGCCACCTGCAGCTGCTGGAGCAGTATTTTTGTGAGAGAGCCTGCAGCAGCAACAGCCGCTTTTTACCACAGATGAGGGGGCCTGATGCACCTCATTTCACCAGCTGCGTTGTCATGCCTCCACAGGACTGCTCCTGGCGACTTCTTGGTCTCCTTGCCTCCCTGTCGGTCTGCCTTGCCGAGTGCGAGGCCTACCTCGACTCTGCCCATTCACCTGAGCTAAATGCTGCTTCCATAGAATTCTCCTGCGGAGATGCTCATCTCTATCTACTGCCCGTACAACGGCTTTCGTGAGCCTCGACTCGACTATTTCCCACGACACAAGATTCTCTAGAATCGCAGAAACATAATCAGCCCTTCGATCCTGTAAGAATGAAATGGAAGCTAAACACGTCAGAGAAAATGTGCTATTTAACTGCTGGCAAACTACAAGGATCATTCTCCATCTAACCTCATAATCCAGGTAATATGCATGCTGTTCCCAGAGGTGAAGAGTATTGTTAGTAAAGATGCATTTTTAGGAAAAAGGAAAGGAAAAATACATTTGCGAGAACTGTACCTCCCAAACATCAATCGCAAGGAGTGGCTGCCAAAGAAATAGATTCATGAGACTCCTGTGGATACATGAACTCATGGTGATATAAGGGGGGGAAAGTTGTGGAGTTGATACTCACAGAGTGGCCCCAGACAAGAGGGTTGATGGCATTTGGAGTCTTTGAGATGACCAGCCTACCATAATTGTCTGATGGGATTGGGCTTCTTGATTTCACATAAGGCAAACCGCTTCCTTTGTCTACAAGCAGTTAAAGAAAAGATTTATGTTCATCTGACCATCATGTGCAAGTTACATATTAGAAGAGTAAAGGTAAGAAGCATGGTCGTCAGCATCACTTACAGGAAAGCCAAACCCATCCAGAACCAAACTGAGTTAGTGCAGCATCCATGAATTGGCGGATCATACCCTCATAGGAGCCAAAGTCTCTATTAATAAACTTCAGAAGCCGTTCTGGTGGCTTGCCCCCACCGCCAGGTTTCATGGATCGCCAATAGAAATCATGGTTCCATACCTAAATACATGGCCTAGAATTAGCCACTTGAAGCATACACAAGTAACCACAAATGCCCCGCACACAATGGCCAATGGTACCTGTGCAGCATGGAAGAAGGGGGGATGGGGCTCCTCCCTGCCCTCATTGAAGGAGGCGAGCATCATCTGCCCCAGTGACATGCCTTCCCACTCACTACCACCGATCATGCCATTGAGCTGGTCCACGTGAATCTGCTGATGAACACCCCAGTGCTGCTCCACCGTCTCCTTGCTTATGTATGGCTCCAGAGCATCCTACATTACCATCCCGTCTATCTGTCATTCCATTCGCTACTAATCTTAGCAAATCAGCGCTGAGTACATACCAAAGGATAAGGAAGTGGCTGCTGCTTTATCCACTCAAAATCCTCAGGCAGCGAAGAATCCAGTTCATCTTCGGTATCAACATCAGCGTCAATGGCATCATCAGCTGAAGCTTCAAGGTCTGCTTCGTCGTCAGTAGCATCACCATCGACACTGTCATCCTCGGTCACCACATCCACCTCATTGGCGCAATGAAATTTTGGGCAATTCCGTCCCCTCATCCTCTGTCCCTGACCAAAAGCATTCGCTGTATCACATCAAACTCAGCCTTGAAATCAAGTCGGAGAGGCCTCCTTGACAAAACAAAAATGGTACAACTGACATGAAGATAGTGCTGCAGGTCCTTACTTTTACAGCTAAAGATGGCCGTACTCTTCTGAGATTTTTAAGAAAAAAATGTAAAAAGATGTTGTAGATAACCTACTGGCTACTGCTTGGTATTGGAGATGGTTCAACAAGAGGTCAAAACATGACCTGTTATTGCACTAGAAAATAATCTCAAAAATAAAGTAAATGTTGTTGGCTTGTTGCACAGACGAACACAAGAACCACTTCCCAGTTCCCAGTGTCAACCGGGCCAGTAACCGACCACAGGCTACATACAGCTCATAATAGCGCACAGATAACCAAACAAAGACAAGAATACCTCCCAATTCGAGCTACCAACTAATGAATGGCAAGGGGAGGAGGGAGGGACGGGGAAAATGCTCACCTCGGTGCCTCCACTCCGCAGGATGACGAGACGGCGGCCAAGCTGCCGGGAGTCGCCGGCGGCGCGCAGGGAGCAGGATGCGACGCTGGAGGAGGCGACGAGACCGAGAGAGATGCCGCCCCCACTGCCACTGCCACTGCCACCCACCAGCGCGGTGGACGCCATGGACGCGCTGCGCTTGGGGGACGGACGGGGAAGCCTTCCCTACTTCGGTTGCGAGCGAGGCAAGACGAGATGTGGCGGACGGAGGGGATAAGCGCGGCCGCGGAGGGGATTGCCTTGTGGGCTCAAACGGACCGGGGATTTGGGCCCCACTTTAGTTTCTCGGCCCATTCGTGACCCATATTTCATCCAGCAGCCCATGTGAATGCTGTAAGGCGTAGTATGTTTCTACGTGGGCCAGCTGCAAGGCCCAGAAGTGCAACCGTCGCGTGAAGGCGTGGTTGCCACTACGCTTCTTCCATAAACTGAAAGACTGAACCTGAACGACTCTTGAAGCAGTGAAGACAGCAAAAACCTGCACTGCACTGCGCATATATTTGTAAATTTGTAAGAAGCATCTCCGGATCCTTCCTTCGAATATTCATATGATATGAACACCCAATCATGAACCGCGTTTGTTAGAAAACGTACTAAAAATATCTTTTTTATTTGTCCGGAATAATGCAGGCAGGCACGCGCAGTGACGACCATCCCTGAACCGGCCCTTCTTCTTCTCGCATCGACACCTCAGTGTCAGCCGGTCAGGGACACTGTCAAAGATCTGAAAGCAAGTTGCAGTTTGGCACTCCGGCGACGCCATGAGTGGGATTAAAGAAATGCGGGCCTCTGATCTGAGGTCAGACGACGGGTGCGGCGCCGGGGGCCGATGGCGCTTCCGCGTGCGTGCCGGCGGCAGAATCCGTCCTTGCGCCTGTGCCGCCGGGTGCGGCTTGCCGCAATGGACAACAGCTATGCTGCTCCGTCTCTGCAAGATTAGTACAGTTTGGTGTAGAATACTTGCTGTGTGATCGTAGCTGATGCTGACAGACCACCTAATCCGTGGTGTTTATTGTTGTACACAAGCAGCCAGGGATGTATCTGGACGGACAGTCGAGGGAGGGAGATCTTGCATTGGTTGATTGTCCTGGTCAAACCTCACGGGATCTTTGTTTCTGTAAATGGAAGTTGGATAGGAAAGACAAAGGTCTGTGTCAGTGAAAATCATATGCAAATTCATGTGAATTCATTCATCAATACTAGACCCCCCTTCAGTAGATTCAGGAAAGGTAGAAAAGTACAGTTCTTTGCTTTCTTACCTAAACCAGTAAATCTGTCTTTGGCTGCTTGCTCCAGATAGAGGAGCATGTCGCAACAATTTTTTTACCAAAAAAAATGTTATTACAATGAAAAAAAAATCCGGTTTGGAGATTTCCAGCTCTGTGTTTCAGTTACAGAAGAAAATCAAACAGGAGCCATTGTCAGAATCGGCAGAAGCTTCCAAAGCAAAGCTTTTTTGCTGCAAAAACTATATCAACAATTAAACATGACGAGAGGAGCCAGTTTACCTTACCAGTAATAAAAGAAATGATCTGGTGAGAAGTTCATGTCAGGGAGGCTCCAAACCGGCACTTTTGAGCCTTCCGTCAGTATGTATTGTATATGATTAACATGTCGCTGTAATGCCGAGTAAGCCTATGGGCACTTAGACTGGCCATCCACTTCCTCCAATTGCTGCATTATATTATCTTAATACCCATATCATAGATGCTGTCAGTGTCAACACCTAGGACCAAGTTGCTACAGATTAATCCTTGAATTAGGAATTCTGAAGCAGATAAAACAAAACCGATGCAAACAGTTCAAACATTTGATGTTTCTGTGTAAACATAGAACATAGCAAAGAGAAATCTAGAGCAGCTGCCAGAAACATTTGTCCAATCTTTGTGTTGCATTTTTTTTCAGACCATCTACAGAAGATGTCAGCATAAGGAGATGTGTAATTCAAGCAGTGTACTGCTTTTCTGTTCATACGTATACGTAATATAGACCGCGTGTGCGTGCTCGTTCATTGGCGCGAAAGTGGCCAAATTCTTCATAGGCCGATTTTTCCACTGATGAGACAAAATGAGGAGAACGGAATCTTTGCCTCCAATGAAGGGGAAGATACCTGCCATCACTTTGTTTAGTCCCAACTAGTGCCACACTCAACTAGTACATGTCTTCTGTGCTTGAACTCTTCTGCCAAGCACCATTTTATAAGATTAATTGGTGTTTTAGGTGGGATTCTATATTATATTATCTAATTTGTTTCGTTGCTTCTGTTGATTGAATTTCAAGTGATTGCCCTTAGTGACCCTACTACTGCAATACTACTAAAGACAGCTTTTCGCGACTCCTGTTATCAATCTGGTCAGTTGTTGCACCAGGAGAGGGGAGGTTGAGTTGAGAGGGGTGCATGGAGATGGAGGGGAGGGGCCTGTCTGATTTGTTCAGGAACACCAGCGAGGAGATCTTCCTCAAGGCAGTGATGGAGAAAATGGGAGTGGCAGCAGCGCCAAGCATGGAGATGCTGGGGTTCAAGAACATGTCGCAAGGTCTCAGAGAAGATAGCGAGGAGTTGTTCAACAGCTGGCTTATGAATGGAGAGGCAAGAATTCTGAAATTTTCCTGTCATTTCTTCTCTCTCTGAACATGAAGATGAAATCGTTCATGGTTCAGAAGATATGGCCCCTTTTGCTGGGGATCACTCACTTCTTCTATCATTTCAGAAAGTACATAGAGGATGTTCTGTAAGCTATATGAACATGAATACTAAAGTGGCACTTAATATGTTGGTTAATCTCTTACTCGGAATCTATCACCTAAATGTATGGCTTCTTATTTGCAGATCCCAGGATTTGGTTCAGTGAACAATCGCCCTCGACAGCCATCTAGGTAAGATACTGGTAAATGATGCAGAGTTAACTAAATTTGCTAGGTCTGTAAATATACGCCAATGAAAGAAATTGTGTACTTAGGTGGAGAGAACACCTCAAAACAAAGATCAGTAATTTAATTGAAACTAATAATCTTAAAAAGGATATCTGAACTCATATGCCTCAGATACTAAATAGATCGTGTTACCAATTTTTTTCTAAAGAGAAAACCTCTGACTTTAAGAAAGCATATAAAGGTTCGCATATTACCCAATTAAAGGTTGGAAAAGCATGAAATGTCTACTCCTATTATGATCAATTCCTATGATTTGTTTAACTGTAACTCCTAATTCACAAGTTGTTGTCCGAAACTATGCAGGTTGTCATCAGAAGCTGCAGGCCTTCCGAATCAACAGCATGACATTGCTCAACAAAGTTTTATCACTGACAACTTGGTTCCACAGAATTTAGCAACTCCTTCAGTCGAATATCCAAATAACCACAACCAGCAATTGCTCAAGTAGTGTATTTATATGCCAACAGCACCTTCCACAGTTTCTTAAAAATAAAATCACATTCTACTTTATGATCTATGTATTATAAGTTTTATTGATCTTGCTTTTTTGCCATAACAGAAATGCAGCAGAGAAGGGAATGCAAGCCAGTGACCTACTTCTAGCAAAAGTTAGTCATCTTCACAATACAGTTGCTACCATATTCACAAATTTGTATATGAGTAAAAAAAAAGCAGTATTTTTTCTAATTTTATCCATTTCTAGGCCTGGTTCCACAGCACTCAACCAATGACTAGAAGTTGTTCGTCAGAGTTAAGGCAGGACCTTCTGATTCCATGTGCACTATTACCTTCCCGCATGAAATATATGGTTCTTGCCTCAATTTTCTTGGTCATATTTACAGGAGGAGGTATGCTGCAATGCAAACTAATTTGGCACCAATAACTATAGGAAGCATTGAAGCAACTAACCAATTAAAACAAGATTTTACAAACACATCAAACAGCACACCAATGAGCAACACACCTGTTCATACACCAAAGTTTGTATCTCCTTCAAGTTCATCAACATCCCCTCTGGATAATCCACATATGGCAGCACAAGATACTATTACCTCAGTGGTGAGCATGCTCAAGGACACGCTTGAGCGCAAGAAGCTTGGTAGCCATGCTAACAAAGACACCTCAGTAGGCAATTCTTTTGGATTCTATGACACTCAGCAGTTTCAACAGAACATTCTTGGAGGAACAGATTTCTTTCCCATAGTGACAACTGCCCAAGTTCAGGATTCCCTGATGCTTCCCAAGGTTGAGAGGCCCATGGAACCAAACAATGGTAACTTCGTTGCTCCTGCAAACCAGGTTTGGTTTGGTGCAGCGTCTCAAGAGCCTTCACACAGTGGATCCTCTACTGCTATGACCACTCATTCAGCTGGATTTGAAATGTGTGATGAGCTACCTCCTACAGGGCAAGCGATGTCTGTTTGTGAGAGCACTAGAAAAAATGCTGCAAATGGAACAACCGACTGCAAATCAAAAGGCAAAGGTATACTTCTATCAATACAGATGTCCTTGAGTTTAGCAAAACTTTACTTGGCCTGACACAAATACTTATGAGTCACAACATGGATGTGAGAATGCTTGGTTTTTCTCCTATAACGATGTCATTGTTATTATGCCATGAGAGAATAAAATTGTGTTTATATTTGTTCAAAATGTACAGAATACAGAGAGAGGGTACAAAAGGATACTTTGAAAGATGAGAGAAAGGTAAGTTTAACTCATACTTCTAAGCATCAAAAGTTCGTTCTGTTGAATTATTTCAATATGGATCATTTTTCTCATTTGCAGAAAGCAGCCCTAACTCGAATGGGATCCATTTCATCAGAACAAGCAGGTATATCCAACAGATAACTTATTTTTAGGCACCAAATAATTGCTATATGGTCATTTCTCGAAATAATCACTCACCCTAAACACATGTTCATAAGATACTTGGGGGAACTTGAAATATATGAAATTGTCATGTACATATGTACTTGTGTCAAATGAGCATAGTCGCTTAAAATATCATATACTACTGTGCAGTTTCTTCTTAATCACCAAACAATCTAATTAGTTAACTCTGCAGCTGATAATAGAGATCCTACAAAGAAGCGCAGGGTTGAGCGCTCACGTAAGTATGTGATGGTTTTCTCTTCTTTCAACAAAATGGTCTTGAACAATGAGTTATAATTATCATACAGTATGTGATGTTCCATGACATTCTTATGGTTCAGAATGGCAGAAGCAAAGGAAAGAAGTTCCACACCAGTAATACCATCTGACATGCAAGCCGTACTTAAACGCTGTGAAACCCTAGAGAAGGAGGTCCGATCACTAAAACTTAACCTGTCTTTCATGAACAGGTGGGTACACTGCTGCAAGGACACTCTAATGCAAATTTTTGTCAAGCAATCATAAGCCACCTTTGTAAACCTATTTAATTAAATATTTATAAACACGATTACAGGAAAGATTCGGAACAGACCAAGCAGATCGAGGAGCTTCAGAAGCAAAACGAGGACTTGATGGAAGAGAAGGAGCGGCTGCTGGAAGAGATTGAAAGAATTGTCTCCGACCCCAACACATGAGCACCCAATCATTTTTGACCCTTTTCTCTATAATAATAGAATTAGACCTGAAATGGTCCTAGACACAAATACATACACAATCCAGCAGGGCAGCAAGAATCAAGTGCTAGCCTAAATGTACCATTCTTTCCTTCTTGTTACCACAAGTTTAACATATACCAATACCAAGAAGCAAAGGGATCAGAGATTTCAGTTTGCTTCCTATGACTTAAGCTGATTACAGCATGAAATGGAGCCCAAAAAAAAAGTGGCAGCCTCTTGGCCTCTTGGGTATCAGAACAGGAACTACATTATTTCAAGGTTGATTCAGAGACAGAGTCCCTATATGGCTATATGATATCTTCGCCTGATCAAATGATATATTCATTAGAGCATACAAAGACAGCAACACATATAACGAAGAGATGAACAACTTTCATTTCAGGGTTGTTTTCATCATAACTCTAGTATTGCAGTATGTAATGCGCCTAAATGTCATAGTTATGTTACTGTAGCAAATTAGCACTACAGCATGCGAGCATCTGCCCATATGCACATATGTATTTTTCGTTTCATAGCTTCGTCGAATTACAAGATGGGAAATGATTTCCAATTTTCCAAGTATGTGAAAGTTTCAGCTAAATAGCTAATGATTCAAACATGAGAAGTAGAACTAGACGCCACGTTAAGCAAGGCCTAACAATGCAGCATGATCATAAAATTCCATGGATTAATACAGAGATAACCATCAATTCGATTCCATTTCATCACCATTCCAATCCAGCAGAGTTGCACACAACCACACATTACATTTTCAAGACTAGCAACCCACGATCGCCTGAAAAACAACCCAACAGATGAAGAACTAGAGCAGCACATAGAGCGACCTCCGCTCAGTGCTTGTTCCGCGGCGAGGTCCTCCTAGCCCCAGCCACCGATGAGGGAGCCGCGGCCGTTGCGGCAGCCTTCCTCCTTGGCGACGCCCTCGCCGGCGCCCCAGCAGCAGGTGCAGAAGCCTTCCTCTTCGGCGACGCCCTCGTCGTGGCGGCCGGTGCGGCAGCCTTCCTCTTTGGCGACGCCCTCGCCGGCGCCGCGGCACCCGCCTTCTCCTTCTCCAGCTGCTGCTCCACGGCGATGCGGTCGAACTCGTCGCTGAGCTTCCTCGCGCGCCTCTTCTTGGCGGCGGTGACGATGGCCGCGAGTGGCTCGTCCTCCTCCTCCTCCGACTCGTCGGACCCGTCGGAGTCCTCGTCGTCATCGACGAGCTCCCGCTTCATAGCCCGCTCCCGCGCCGCCACCTCCTCCTCGTCCTCCGAATCCCCATCGAAGGCGTCGTCGTCGGATCCGAGCGCGGCGAGCGAGGCGGGCATGTGGCCGACGGAGCGGGCCTTGGCCTTGGCCCTGGCGTCGCGGCGCGCGCTGCGGCGGAGCTTGTCGATGGAGCCCTCGATGCGGCCCTGCAGGCGGAGGCGCTTCACGCCGAAGCCGCCCATGGACCAGTGCGCCTCGCGCGCCCACTCGAGGAGCGGGTCGGTGACGGACGCCGGCGGGTCCACACGGTCGCCCGGGAAGAAGCGCGGCCTCGGCAGCCCGCTGCCGTAGAACCGGCCGGGTCCCAGCGCCACCACCATGGCGATCTCCTTCCTCTCGGTTGTGGATCTGTCGCTGTCGGGTAGATCTGTCACTCTCTGGATCTCGGTAACTGCAAGCGTGGCGGGGTGTGGGGAGGAGAGAGGGATCGTGCGGGAGTTTATAGGAGGAGGGGAAGCCTGGCGGGAAGGATAGGCGAGTTTGGCGCCAAGAAAATGGCGGTAAAAGGCTCGGGTGGATCGAAATGGGCAAATGGGGATCGGGCGCGGGAGGGAAAGCCGCCGCCGCGTCGTTTGAATCGGAGGGAAATGGCGGGAGCCCACTGCTTCCCGCGCGGCGCTGACACCAGGGGCCCCACCGGCCCGCTGCACTTCGGTTCACACGAACACACGGCCCAGTTGAAGAATGGAGACTAAGAGTTGACGTAGCTGTTTTACTGGACCGGGCTAGTGGACTCGCTCGTCGTGCTGATCGTCGACCTGTGGCTGGCTGACTAAGATATGGCCCATCTGTGGCCTCCTCAAGGGCTGAGAGAGGCTGGGCCAGCCTTAATATTTTGTTGGAAAAAATCCACATTACCTTCTTAACTTTTAACTTTTGTGAAAGTCTATTTTCCCACCCTAAAACTTAAAAACCGGATAAACCATTTCCCTGAACTTTTTAAAACCATTCGTTTTACCTTCCTGACCGGTTATAAGCAGGTTTTCAAAGACGGTTTTATCTTTTCCTTTTTACTAGATACATACTGGGTCATGAATTTATACCAGCACCTACGACGACATATTTGATCATTTTATATAAAATAATAGATAGCTAATAAACAATTTTGCATTGGGATGTCCTAATCTATTTTCAAATCCATTTAGGCCTTGTTTATTTTTTCGTCTCAGTTATTTGAAGTGTAACTGTATTCTCTTTCTATTTATTCCCTCCATCTGTTTTTTTTAGTTATTTTTCATCTGGTGCAGTGTTTGTGCTTGTCTCTCTGTTCAATAGGATTCGTTAGTGGACGTGGCCCTCCAAGTTTGCATGGACATGGCCTGGCATAGAGAGCAAGCAGAGAAAGATATCTCTTCCGGATATCTACTCCCGGGGACGCATACGCGGAGCTGCTAGGCGAGCCTGGCGGCGCCGCTGGAGCTGCGGAGGCGAGGCTGGCGCCGCGGGAAGCAGGAACATGGCGAGCTGCGCGCTTGACCCTCCCGAGCACCGTGACCGCACGGCCAACCACCGACCGTCAACAAAGTCCGAGCACATCGTGGTGCCGTACTCATCGTGACTCAGTATTTGATATGGAATCGCGTCCTAATTCATTTTGAGATGGAAGCTCGGTTCAGAAAGGAAACAGGAGAGAGGAGAAATTGGAAATTTCGTCAGATTTGATCGAGTTGCCATCTAAAGTGGCGAACGACGAGAGGAAACGGGAGAGAGGAGACGCGAAAATCGGCACGCAAGATCTGGCAAGCTTGGTGACCTACGACTGCAGCACCAGGATCCGCCGGCGCCGCCGAGCCTCGCGAAACAGCAGCATCGAGCAGAGGAAGAAAAAGAATGCGGCCGAGCACCGAGCACCGAGCAGAGGAAGAGGACTCCTGCTCTCCAGCACCTTGGACGTGGACTGTGGGGGCATGCCGGCCGACCGGCGTCGGCGTCAGAGTGGGCAGTGCCGTGGGTGGGGTCGCGGAAGGGATGGCCGCGGAGGAGGGCGCCGCGTCGTCTTCGTCGCCGCAGCCTGCGACCGCGACAGAGACGAAGATTTATTTGAACGGGTTTTGCGGTCTCTAACCGGCCACAAACAACCCGTAGCAGCCTTTAGATACGGTTTTACGTGGCCTGGTTTGATGGGTTACCGGACCATGGACTCGGACTCCATAAACGTACGTGGGCGGAGGTGCGAGGCGATTGCAACGAGCGGAGCGATTATTAGGCGCTGACGATGACGTCGAGTATTTTTTTTTGTTAGGTGTAGATATTTATTTCGGTTGAATCTTCGAAAAATCATAGTAAATCACATAAAAATAATAAAATAAAAAATCTAATTTTTTTAGACTCCACATGAGTAGATCTACACAGTCAACATATAATACGGTATGCTTTAGCACAATTTTTTTTGGTAGCTTTATATCTATAACTTTTCTATAATTAATTCATAGCTGCAGTTCTATGGTTCAATTGTGATGAAATTTTTATGGTGAGCTAATTATTATATGCTTGAACTATAGTAAAAAATCCATACTCATTGGATCACGTATAACTTAGTTATAGATTACGTGATCCAATGAGTATGAAATTTTTAATACAGTTTAAGCATAAAATAATTAGTCCACAATAACAATTTCACCATAATTGGACCATAGAAACTGTAGCTATGAATTAATTATAAAAAAAATAGATCTAAAGCTACAACAAAAAATTTATGCTAAAACATACCATACTATATATTCGTTGTGTAGATCTATTCATGTGAAATCTAACAAAATTGGATTTTTTTATTTTATAATTTTTCTATGAATTACTATGATTTTTCAAAGATTCGACCAAAATAAAAAAACAAAACCATCTTTGAAAACCGTTTATAACTGGTCGGGAGGTAAAACGAACAGTTTTAAATGTTCAGGGAGGTGGCTTACCCAGTTTTAGAGTTCAGAGAGAAAAAATATACTTTCACAAAAATTGATGGAGGTAACATGAACTTTTTTCTTATTTTATTTTATTCTTTTTCGTGCATTCTTGCGGGAGATGGTGTTTTGAATGAACCACTAATCGCTGTGTCCGACCAGAATCGGACCCAAGTAACCGTTCGACCATCTCCCTCCGTGTCGCGCTGCATATCTGGTTAGGGTAATTACACGAATGTTGGAGGTTGGTGTTTATATATATATATATATATATATATATATATATATATATATATATATATATATATATATATATATATATATATATATATATATGGATATCGAGAGTTTTAGTTTGATATCGAACGAAAGTTTAGAAAACCTAACTCCCACATACTACTTTACCAGCCATTTGGATCTCTTCATTTCATAGGAACGAACGAATTAGAATGTATTTAATGAATTAGGTTATTTGGCTTAAAATTGAAGATGCACCTGGACGTCCGAACACTCCCGCCTATAACCATTTCCTACGCCGTTTCATGTGCCCACGTGGGTCCGCACCATCCCCCTACGTCACTAACATCGAGAAGAGGGGGAGGAACAGATGCCAACCGGAGCCGAGAGGAAGAGGAGATACCAAGGTGAGGCAGTAGAAAGCGAGGAGAAAAATGCAACACCCGATCTACTTTTGAAACCTCCAGATACAACACTTGCAACATATGTCTGAAGGCAGATGAAACACGAGTAACATGTATCTGAAACACTTGCAAAAATACTTGAAAAACATTGTAAAACATACACAATATCCAGATAAAACGCTTGCAACATATGTGTGAAACATTGCAACATCCAAATAAACACACTTGCAACATATGTGTAAAAAAATAGATAAAACATTAGGAATAGAAGCTTGCAACACACGTGTACAACCATTGCAACATATGTAACACCCCGATCCACTTTTGCAACATTAGTATGAAATACTTGCAACATACATTTGAAACACTTAAAACGTACGTTTGCAACAGGCGCTTTAGTGCAACATCTCCTTACTGCTCGGGAGAATGAAGGCTTGTCGACGTGTGGAGTTCACGAGAGGCAACGACCTGGGGCGAGGAGCGGAGAAAATGGCGTCCACATCGAGTTCAAGGAGGCGACGGACGGATCTCTGAAGAAGGGCAGCCGGCGGTCCTCGGTCCGATGGTCCGGGGCGCGGGAGAGCAAGCGTGGCGGCGCGACAGGTGGGTGGAGAGGGCGATGTGATGCCAGGTCGGAGCAACGAGGAGGCGGTGCGGGGCGCGCGGGTGCGCTAGTAGCCGGCGGGGCTGCAGGCGACAACGTGGCGCTACGATCTGCACGCGAGGTGCGACACGGTGAGGGAAGGAAGAGGCCACAAGGCAGAAAGACTATTTTTTTTAGAAACTCCCGAGCAAACAGGAAGGGATAGTTGGGCCAACGTCATGGCCCACCAACGGAGCGTCCGGAGTGGACGGACGCTCGTTTCCTAGCATTACCATTTGAGATTCCACGACTTTCCAAAATTCACATATAAGCATATCTCAAATCCATATGTGGAAGATGAAAATTGATTTTATAGATCATTATGCGTTGTTTCTACTCTGCAACTTGTAGCACGCTATTCAACTCGTTTTGCCATAGTAGAAATGCAACATGTAAGCATCTCTCTTGCATAGCTAACAATAGCATATAAATATATTTTATATACAACTATATTAGCTTAATTAATATGTGTCTAAATTATAATTTATTAGAATGAATTTAATTCTAAGGATCAAATGGGGCTTAGTGTAATTAAGTAGACTGGTGGAGGCATAGTATTGTCCCAAGAAAGCATGCGAACTCATAAAAAAATGCTTGTCAATTCAAACATGCCCGTTGCATTGATTCAAAGGTTATTGCTCAAACGATCGTAAATTTCAAATAGAATAGTGTTTTTCTCACACCAAACCAAAATTAAAGATAAATAATCCATATACACGGCCTCCCGAACACGCATGCAAAGGCGGAACATCGCTACTATAATGACTAATCAAAATTATAAAGATGATACATTCTTGATGTTTATCTATAATGGACTAATCAAAATTATACTATGTTTTTCTAGAAAAACGTCTTCCGCTGAGAGAGCCTTCAACAATTGTACATCCAGAAAAATACATACAGAAATTTGTCTATATTAAAATTAAGGACTAATAAAACATCCAAATCAAATCTAATGGCCACAGATTGATGTGTGATGCCAGGCTTCTCACGCGTCCACACTCCGCCTCATCACGACCGCACCCCGCGCACCCTCCAACACACGCACGCGCGGCTTCAAACGCGCTTCAACGCCAGAAACCCCGCCCGCCGCCACGCCGCCATCCTCCTCTGCTCCGTCGCGACTTACAGCACCCAGCGCGACATCTTCCGCCTCCGAGCGATCTCAGACGAGCTGCTCCGCCTCCGCCTCGACGTACAAGGACGAGTGCGACATCCTCCGCCTCCGAGCGACCTCATGCAGAGACGGGAAGACGCCCGGCACACCACAATCCAGGGCCGGCGCGGCCATGCTCGGGCGGTGGCGGCGACCTCAGCCGAGCCGAGCGACCTACAGAGACGGGAAGACGCCCGGCACGCCACAATCCAGGGCCGGCGCGGCCATGCTCGGGCAGTGGCGGCGACCTCAGCCGAGCCGAGCGACCTACAGAGACGGGAAGACATCCGGCACCCCGCGGCAGCAGATGATGCAACCACCACGCAAGATCCCCGCGGCAGCACGCGCCTCGATGGTCTCTTTGACGGCAGGCCTCGATCCAAGGCGGCCGCGGCCACGCCCTTCAGCGCGTGCTAGCTGTGAGTTTTCTGATCCCCGCCGATGTTAGGGTTTAGAAATTTGGGGAAAACTTTGAATCTACCTTTGTTTTGAGACACGGAGAGGGAATGCAACTGCCATGCGATGAGTTTTTGTAAGATCTGAATTTTAGTGCTCCGATTACTATAATAAGTATGCATGCTAATTCTTTATTTGTCATATCTAATTAAGTTCTGAACTTCTTTGGCATGTTGATAATCTGAAAACGGGAGTAAATTCTGCAGGTTGCCGAGTTTTTTGGGTTTCATGGATTGGTCTCTGAAAGCATCAAGAAAACTCTGGTCCAGGATTAGCCGCCACCGCACAAGACGCCAAGGTCCCAAGACAAGTTTTTAGTTGACAGGGAGCATGGTTTATATTTCTAAAGAAACATAGATAGTGCAGTTGAATATATTATAAATACTATTTGTGTGCTGCGAGTCTGCAACTACCAATGTTGGTTGTTGCTCTATTGCTGTCTTGTTTATTCTGAATAAATGAACATTTATGAACTCAGCCAATCCTATGTTGTCAATTTAATTATCATCTCTGGTACTAATGAAATCTTAGTCTCATTTGAAGTCTTTGGCTTACTTTTTGGTCTCTCTTCCATTAAAACTTTTTGCCAAGAATGCCGACACCACTAGAGTACATTTTTGGGTCTATCTTCTGGTAACTTGATCACGCTCACCTTCACCAGATTCTTATGTATTTGTGCTCTTGTTCAGGAAAAAAAAACTGCACGTGTGATTGAGTTTTTCACCAGGCCTTCATGCTTTGGATAGCTAGCCCCGCTTGCTTTTCCTCATCTGCTTGAGAGATACATTTAGACAAGACAAGAGAAAATTTAAATATTCAAGAAGATTGTACGCTCCCGGGCGAATGTATCATATACTTGTTGTCAAGTCTACCATCTTGATATTGTTGCTAAATAAATTGTCAAATGTATTTTTTTAACGGCTTACTTATACTGTAATATTTTTAATATTGTTGCTAAATAAATTATTAAATGTATTGTTTATCCAGCCTACTTACACGGTCACATTTTTATCAGTTTATATATCTCTCTTCTTAGCAAGGAGAGTGATTAAAGCAGACACTAAATTCAATAGGGGTGAGTGCAGCTCGTTTTGCAATCTTTGACAAATTGTTGATACACGAGAAGCTGACATGCACCCTTTTTTTTTGTGCCATTTCAGATCTCATAACTACAAGGCAAATCAACTGAACTAATATCTCAGAGGATGGAATATTAGTTTGGAGGAGTTGACTTGGAAGTTTTTTTTCCTGGTAGAATAAGGAGCAATTTCTGATTCAGTTTCATGGCTTATTTATTTAGTTATTTTCATTGCAATATTTCAGGTTTTGAAGGGTGCTCGTGTCATGATGAACGTAGAGATCATAAGTCAGACTTTGAAGTCTCTGAAGAAGAAAAGAAGGCAAGAATGGGCTCTTTGAAGAAAAAAGCAATAGATGCATCAACTAAGATTAGGCATTCATTAAAAAAGAACAGGAGGTAGAGTGGTAGTCAGGCCCTTTCTGTGTCTATTACCTGCAAGACATGATGACTATCATGTGACGCTGACTTGCTGAGGTATATATCCAGTAAATTATGATGTGCCTTTTATTTAGCTTGATGCGTTAGTTCTCATTTTTTTCCAAAGCTGGTGTCACACCCGATCTTAAGGATATAATGGGATGTATAATCTTATGTGCGCCTAGAAATCAGTCACACACATAAGCCGATAAATTATAAATAGTATTATCACAAGTGTTTATTACATCACAAATAATAAGACATAATCTTCACATAAATGTAGTGGAAGTATAAAACAAATCTCTCGCGGAAGCTCCATGTCACAGAGACGTCAACTGGTTGACCACAAATCTAATAATCCTCAGGAAAGTCGTCATTACCATAGCCATCTGTTACCCATCCGGGATTTTTATTCAAATAATGATAATAAACAAGCGTAAGTACGTGACGTACTCAACAAATGTAACATAGGGTTCATGGACTCAAAAGGCTTGACATAGCTTTAACAACATTTAGCTTTTAATTATCACAATTTTAGCATAAGAGTAGCAACAAGTTGTTTTAATCCCAAAGTAAAACGCATGATCAATGTAAACATGAATAATGAATAGCATAAACGGATAATTCTTAGTGATCATCTATTTCATAAGGGTCTAAGGCCGCTCGTGACCGTGAGCACGACTGATATACCAGTTTTATACTCTGCAGAGATTGTACACTTTCAGTGTGAGTCATGATTTACCCTTTCACCCGAGATAGCTAATCTCTTGATCCACTTATAAGGAAGGTCGGCAAGGTTTACTATAAAGCCTTTCAAAGGTTCGTCTAACAAGTTAGGGCTATTAGATTCACTCGGTAAACAGATGTAAAGTCCCCCTTCTCGATAGCACAATGACGCGTAGCCTATACACATGGGGACAGAGGCCGCACTATACCCGATTCAGCCAACCATTCTTACGTCAATAAAGGTAACATCTAACAAGCTAAAAAAGGTTCTCATACTGAGCTAAAGCCAGAGCCATGTAGCCCTCACACCTATATTGTAAAGTCCCAAAAGTTCGCTTACAGATAAGTCCTTATGGAGAGGAATATGAAGCATTTAGAAAGTAGCTAGACACTTCGACCCCCTGTTTCCAAGTTGCTAAAAAGTCATGTTTTAATGTTATTGCATATACCATTAGTCAAGTTATAAGATCATGGTTTAGTTGAACACTAGCAAAGCTACCCAATAGATATCCCATAGGAGATAAGGTATCAGTTCAATTCTAGGGAATCCCTATCAAAGTGACACATGCAAAATATGAATTAAATGTATTAAAGTTGATAGTAAACAAGAATAATCCCAAGCTATACTTGTCTTGAACAAAATGTTCCTGCTGATCCTACTTGTCAAAGTAGTACTCTTGATCACCCATGAATTGCTCACCGTCTATACTCGATAATCACAGCAACATACAAGCATCCAGAAGCAATCATGCATAACAAACAAAGGCTATAGATTAGAACAGCACACCAACAGCATAAAATCAAGATAAAAAGTTTGTAAAACAAATCTACGTCTCGCTATGAACACACAGACCGAAAGATCACGAAAATCGGAGCTAAAACAAAGAAGTTATGAATTAAATAAGATTTTCTTTTATTAAACTAATATATTAAATCTAACCTCGAATTTTAAAAGTTAAAAATATACTTAACAGTAGTATGAACATGTAGATTACTCAATTACGAACCTAACGCAACTTGAACGGATCAAATCAGAGTTAAAACGAAGATTTTATGGCTAAAACAAAATTAGTGGCAAAACTGTAAATAGATGGAACTAAATTTTAGAATTTAAATTAATAAAATCGGATTTTAAATTGAGCCAGGGACAGCGGCATGATAAAGAAAAAGTATAGGGGTTCTTTAGAAAAAGTGCAGGAACGACGGGTTATATACTAGAAAACTTCAGGGGCTCTTTCGCAAAACGGTCGCCCGAATCGGTATGGGTTGATTTCCACCGTTGGATCACAAATGGACGGAGCAGATCAGATGGGAGGGGAAGAGAGATGCTGGCGGCGAGCAAAGCGGCAGCGCCATTGCCGGACTCGTCTGGCCCTCGCCGGAGTTCGTCGATACGACAATTCTGGCCATCAACGGACACGGGAAGACCACGGGGAGAGAGAGGGGATGACAACGAACTCACCTAGGAGCTTTACGCGGACGAGGGCGGGTCTACTGCGGCGTGTGGCTCCACGGGGTGGACGGCGACGGCGGCGCTCTTAGGGTTGCGACGGCTGGAGCAATGCGAAGGCGACGGCTGGCACTTTAGGGTTAGGTGAGGGCGGCGAAACGCAGGGCCCTATTTATGAGCGGTGCTGGCTTGCGGGTCACGCTAGGCGTGGCGTAGCGGAGGCAGAGACGAACTCGGTGTTTGGCTAGGACACGAGCGAGAGATAGGAGATGACGGCGCGGCTGACACGCAGGCCCGTCATGTCAGCGAGAGGCGAGAGAGCGCGGGTGGCGTGGCTTGCGCTAGGCTGGGCCGGCGACGCGGGAGCGGGAACGGCGCGGGGACGACTCGACTGGGCCGGCTTGCTGCGACGCGGCCTGCTGGAATGGACCGCAAGAGAAAACAGGGCTGCAAGAGAAAACAGGGCCAGCGGTCCAGAATTCCGAGGAAGAGAGGAGAAAAAAATCTTTTCTTTTTCTTAAACACATTTTCAACTCCAATTTAAACTCAAATTTAATTCTTTTATAAATTTCAATCAAACCAAAGCATCACAAAATAAATATGCAACAACATGTATGCACATACATGTATGTAGACCTATATTTGATTTTATTTTTAACAAAGTTATTATTTTTCTAAATTTGAATGTCCACAAAAATGCATAATAAATCAAATTCTTCTATTTTAAAATTATGCAAATTTTAGGGGAAAGGAAGGGTCACCGAGCTCGATTTTTTTTCTCAATCTTTACCTTTTCGGTCATTCATCTTCTATCTCGAACTCTGGACTAAATTCCTCTACTCCTTTTGTTACTGATCACGGATCGTTTTGGAACTAGGACTCTCAAGTACGGTCCTACAATTTTATATCCTATTTCTACATCATGTACTCCGTCCATTCTTCTGCTTTGTCACAGGCAGGCGCGCCTCCCTTAGCCACGAGCGCAATGTTGTCATAAGCTTCTGCTACCCGTGTGTTCTCTTTCCTTCTTGAGTCATAGGGAGGGAGAGGAGCTTTGGTTCCTGGATGAGCTGTGAAGGAATTAGGAGCACAAAGGCGTGATGTTTACTCCGCATGGTGTCCTTGGTGGCGGCAGCTACCATCAGAGCCATGGTGGCGCTCCTGATGCGTCGGTGCTCCTTGGAAAGGGGAAAGGAAGGGTCACCGAGCTCGAGCAGGAGTTTTTTTCTCAATCTTTACCTTTTTCGGTCATTCATCTTCTATCTGAACCTGATTTAGGACTAAATTCCTCTACTCCTTTTGTTACTAATCACGGATCGTTTTGGAACTAGGACTCTCAAGTAAGTCCTACAATTTTATATCATATTTCTACATCATGTACTCCGTCTATAAAAAAGATGACTAAACAAAAAATGAAAGGAAGATGAAAAAGCAATTTAAACGAGGTGCTTTTTTGAAGTTGAGTTTGGTGCTTACATGAAATTTTGATATCCCTAAAATCTTTTTTGCTATGTTGGTATACAATAATTTGAAATTTTATAAAGTGATGCTTGCTGTATTCTGTATGTGTTTTAGGTTGTCCTTTTGTAAATCAGGTTTGTTTTACTTGCCTGCGTTCTTATTCTCTTTTGGAGAAGTCTCCTGACAATGTAAATCATTTGTATCTTAGACACTGCTACTCTTGGAATTTCGGTTGGTTACTTTAAAGGAAGGTCAAATATACGCATTCTTTCAAAAGAAAATGTTCTAAAACTAGAAGCTGAAGGTGAAGAGATGGTTCAGGTGTCAATTTGGACTTTCTGATGTTCTTCATTTTTATAAAACCCTTTTGCAGCTATGCTATAGCAAGTTTTCATTATATCGATTTGAGTACTTGTTGACATAAAAATATGGCGATGTGATCCACACACAGCAAGTCGGAAGATCTGAGTGGAACGAGACCAGAGATCTACTTGGCTTCAACACAGAACCAGCCGATTCTGAAAACCCAACGACATACCAGTCAATTTGACCTACAATTGACAAGGAGAGAAAATCTTATCAGTAATTTAAGGTGGAACATGTCGGTGTAGCACTAAACAGTTCCAAATGTACGGCTAGATAGCCGATTCAATAAGGCTATCGACTAAATAGTCGATATCCAGCGTATCTATGAAATGAAGATCTTTAAATCAAGGATTATCGGCTAATATTAAACGATAATGATACGAATCAAAATAACCGATGCTCATGGAACATCAGAAAAGCATCATCGGCTATATGAAACATGATCGATATAAAGCGTCGAGCCGATAAGTCTAATGAAAAGAGTATAACATGCGAATAAATCGACTATCTAATATAAATGAATCTACAAACAATTTTGAGTGTAATATATTATCATCAACAGTGAGGTTCGATCGGATCGATGTAGCTATGCTAATAATAATAAACTAAAGCAAAAAATCTATAAAACTATCTATATATTAACAGATTCATGAAAACATGCTATATGCGTGAGAGTATAGACAAATTGGTTAAAATAGCCGATGCAGTCATAGCAAATAAACAGAGTACATATCTTGATCATGAACAAGACCACTAATCGATAATTTCTAATCTAAAGTCTTACTAGTGAGGTTTGATCGGATCGATGTAGCTATGGTAGTGTCATTAGATTAGATTTCATTAACTAGTGAGTTTATTCAAGATTAAAATATGTCTTTGGATGCATACTATGTTTGACTGAAATAGAGATAAAACAACCGATCTAGTGGAATTAAGCCATCAATTATAAGATTTGAAGCATGACCAGATCAAAAGACGACCAATTAAGATGATATGATGCCGATCTATCTCTATCTCAATCGGGTGATTTTGTTATAATCAATAAAACATTAATTATAGCAAGATCGATAACTGGTGAATCAACAAAAAATAACAAGAAAAATCTTACTAATCTTAGCGGATTCGATAACTGGTGATATTGTATTAAACAACAAGTTATTTTACACAAGATCGATAACTTTGATCTATATTATGATTCGTAAGAGATCAATCAGCTGATGCAGCCTTACAAACTACGATACAGATCGATAACTAACTTATATTATGGCTCATAAAAGGTCAATCAGATGATGCAGCTTTACAAACACAATACAAGTCATGACGGTACTTACAAGCAAGCTGGAGGTCGATCAGTCGATGCAGTCCTATTTGCTGAAGAACTTGCCAAGATCTACAGTACTCCTACTCCTAATGCGATGGCGAAAGCCAGAAAGATTATATTGATTGAGTGTTCATTTTTTTTACGATAATCAGGGTATAATATTTATACCCGAAACCTAAATATGAATCATACTCAAATACGATTCATTACAGTTCTTGGAATAAAAGAAAACTTTATAATTTAATAATAACCTGGACCCCAATTTTCCTTATTTGTAGAGTCCGACACATCTTCCTGGCGTCACTCAAGCATAACCTATTGACGCCGTCTGCTGACGTCATTCATAAAATAGTCGATTCTGATATCACATCTAAATCAGCTGATACCGATTCACATCTAATCGATTCCTTGATGACACAATCCTAGAAGCTCTGAGTTCTCGCGTTTCTCTTCCCAAATTTTTGGTGTAAACAATACTCTATTGATTTTCCTATGCACCGGGTCAGTGGAGGCCTCTATGTTGCAAGACATGCTCTGTGCAAATAGCTACAAGGTTGAAGCCCAATTTCTTTGAGAAGGTGTATGCTGCACTGTTTGGCTACATCTTTGAATCAATACGGAAATACTAATTTGGTTATATTTCAGAATGCAGGATAAAACCATTGCTTATGTGGGTGATTCTTTAGGAAGACAGATGTTTCAATTAATGATGTGTATGGTCACCGGTGGAACATTGGAGGCAGCTGTGATAACACAAACCCTTTGGCCAAGGGAAGTGGCATTCACCTCAACCATTCTGAGGATGGTGATGCCGAGGGTGCAGTGAGAGGAACTAGGATCAAGCTTGTGGATGTAACTGCCCTGTCACGTCTGAGAGACCAAGGGCATATATCACGGTAATAATATCAAGGCCACGCTAGGCGTTCAAGATTGCTTGCATTGGTGCCTTCCTGGCGTTCCTGATACATGGAATGATAACATTTTAGCCCAGCTATAACCTTCAGTTGAATATGCGAACAACTACATCAAACGGGTTAGGCTTTACTGCAGAGGTTTTATGCAGCTGATAGGAAACAACGAGCAGCAGTAGATTTACTTGTTGGTAGATTGATTTTTATGGTATATCAACTAATTATTCTTTTCGATAACGATATCAATATTGGATCAATATTTATTGGTAGATTGATTTTTTAGTTTGCATATATTTCAATTTAAACTTGCATATATCCGAATGTTGTCATAGCATTAGCACGAACACTATACTAGTCGAGCTAATCATGCATGCCACCTAAACAAATCATTCGTATCCACACTAGCATTAATAATGTTGCAATCCACAGCCCATCACCTCGCATTCATCGACTACAATGCTGTTATGAAATGAAATTATTAAAAAGCTAACAGAGGCTAACCACCACCAAAGGCGGTGTAATTAGCAGTTTCTAATCTAAATTATAAACAACTGCTGTATCAATTATTTGCATATCCAGCCCTTTGAAGTTAGATTATTGACCGATGTACTTGTAAACCACCATGTGAATGTGATTAAACTATTGCGCCTCGTGGAGGCATTTCATTTTAAAAGATTACTGCTCACGTAAGGATCCAAGGCCATAACCATTGTTTGGTTTGGACGCTACGATCATTTCACGTATGGGGTTTTTTCAGACTAATTTGGCCAGGGGCGTAACGACCCCGAGTCAGAGATCACATAATTCCAACACACTACTCAAAAAAGTATGGTAGAAACAACGTTACCACCCATAAAAAGAATACTCCCTCCGTTAAAAAACAATTATCATGTTATGGAGCAACACAATTTTGAACTTAATCAAATATATAGAATTTAATATAGAACAAGAATAATGAGATTACGAAACATATTTTTCAGAGTAATTATTTTTTGGAAATTTTAGCCAAATTGAAGAGAATTTGTCTCGATACAAAAATCTCTAGTATCTGTATCTTCCTAGAAAAAACTCGCAAGAACGTGTACAATTGGAGCGTTGAACACGAGGTGTGGTCGGCGTGAAACCGCGGGGATAGGGAGGACTGTTCTGTGATACCAGAGTCGTACAGGGACCTGGGCGCAAAACACGCGCCACATTGGACCGCGGCAGATAAATAAAGGCGAGGCCGGGAGGGCGGCAGAAAAATCCTCGAAGCAATCCACCCTCCCGTCCCCGTGTCCCCCCACCTCCTCCTCGTCGTCGTCCTCCTCCACACCGCGCGCGCGGCGGTGTTGACCCACCCACCCGTTCCTCCCCCACCCCATCAGCGCTGGAGGCGGCGGTGCGAAAGTCCCCCGGACCCTTCGGCGGCGGCGGCGGCGCGCGGTTATGCCGAGAGGCTCCCAGGTGCGTCGTTCGTCCCGGCCCGAGCTCTTCCGAATTTGTGGATGCAGAATTGGTGGCGGGAACGTCGAGGGATCGGCTTGGGGCTGCATCCGGGTGGGGAATTCGGCGTGGTCTTGGTCAGGGGTACGGGGATCGTGCGGCGGGTGGCCGATCGGCCGGTGAGATCCGGGTACGGGACGTGGGGGCGTGTTTCGCGTGTTCGGATCCCGTCTGTTTTCATTCAAATTGGGGGTGGTGGTTGGTCCGCCGTGGGTAATTCCACTAATTCGTGTGCCTGGCGGTCGCGTGGGTGCTTGATTTGTGAAATTAGGCAGGGTAGCTGTGTGTCTGCGCCGCCGGGTCTCGTCATGGTTCAGGGGCGTTATCGTGCTGGTTCATGCTCAATCACGCAGCGGTGAATTATCATACTGGTCTATGCTCAAATTGTGTGTGCTTCTGCTGCGAACTCTAGATATCTAATTGGTTTGTTTTTCGGGGCTGCATGGTTTGTAAATTGTAATAGATGTGTCTGTGCTGTACTCGTGGATAGCGTGTGGGTGTAATTCTATAAATCCAGCTCTTGTGCTCTTGCTGTATCCAAACTTTTAGTGCTAATTTGGGAGAGATAGGAAAACACCAATTAATTCGAATTGTTGGGACCTTTGAGCTTAGATCCAATTGATATATACAATATTGTTTACTGTAAAGAATCCATTGGGATTTTCAACGCATCGATGCATGCTTGTGCTCTTTTATTTGATTCTGATTCCTTTGCACCTATGCCTTGTGCGTGATCTACTTTGCTAGGCTCCAATTAATTAGAACTTAGTTAGGTAGATCATGCATTCAGATTCTGCGTGACCTACCGTGTTACTTCATTTTCGCACACTCATAGACTGCCAATTTGTTGCCTAATTACCACTTTCAATACTTATTATGCAGGTTTCATCACCGTGCTCTGCTGGAGTTTTAGCATTTACAGCAAGGATATGGAGTACACCCCCTACGCAGCAAGTTCCTCTGTATCCCACATTTCACTGCTCGAGGAAGTTCTTGGCTGGAGGTTTTGTCTTTACGGAGACTTCCTGGTCATCTCTTTTGTCAACTCCACCTGAGGATCACCCCGTGTCTAGCGACTGCCTTGCCTGGTCCCATGCTGTCAGACATTAGAGTTGCCTAGTGATTACAGTGCAGCTGTAGCACACTTATTTGAGCATGGTGGATCTGTTTCTCTGGCAACATTTCGGTAATCTTTGTCTTGGTGCTAATCAGCCAGCAAAAGTTACCATCAAGACATCTCTGGACACTTGAATCTAACGCTTAGAGCTTTGCCGTCGCATATAGGCTCTAGGTATCCTTTCACCAATAGCTAAGCTACTAGCATTACATATTCTGTATCCTGCCTATTCCAGTTCTCACACATATTCCCCCCCGACAGGTTCTGGTTTTGTTCTCTGCTAGCTTTCTTCTACCTTATCGCTGTAAGTTTTCAGTCTGGTCAGTCCAAAGTTCGGTGTGTATTGGTTACGCTATCTTTCACCAGCCTTCACTTTGGATGGCGTGACATTAGGTACGTGTGTACTCTCTAATGTAGACATGGTCCATTCATGATTCATCATTATGTAGCATTAGAAAATGTAGTTTTACTTAATTAACTAATACCAGATCCATTATGTGCTAATTTCAGAGCTGAGGCGTTCAAGATTTTGTTGCGCAAAGCATGGGAACAGCATACATAGCTTTGAGAGGAGTCTCCAGTGACTTTGGTGTTGTAACATCCAAAGACGCTCCTGTGATACATATATGAGTCCTGTTTGTTACTATACAACTGTTCTGAAATAAGGGCAGTTCTGTACACCACCAGCTAATAAAATGGAGAGGTGAAGATCCTCTATAACCAGATGATTATAAGAACTTAGAATCCTGTCTAAGCTGTTTTGGATGTCTGCTTACCTCGTTTTGGCATTGTGTTCCAGGTATACGATCATCAAGGAAGTTGGTGATGGAACATTTGGGAGTGTTTGGCGTGCAACCAATAAGGAAAGTGGTGAAGTGGTATGTCATTAGGCTTGCCCATTTGTTGCTTCTGTTACACCTCAACTTTTTCAGCAGCTACATAGTTTAGTTTCCCATTGTTAGCTTTTTCACCTCATTAAGATACCTGGTCTGATAGGTTGCGATCAAGAAGATGAAGAAAAAATATTATTCTTGGGAAGAGTGCATAAACCTCCGCGAAGTGAAGGTGATTGTTGCTTTCAATCTGTCTAATCTTTATAATGTTCTGTGGCATTCTTTTGAGTTACTTATTTTTTTTAATCAGTCCCTGCGAAGGATGAACCATCCAAACATTGTGAAGCTCAAAGAAGTCATAAGAGAGAATGATATGTTGTTCTTTGTTTTTGAGTACATGGTATGGACATATCATAGCCCTTATTCATGTGTCGTTTCTGTGCTTGTACTCTGTAAGGTTACTAAAGTTTACGTTCTTTGTTGTTGTTTTAGGAATGTAGTCTTTATCAACTGATGAAGAGCAAAGGGAAGCCCTTCTCAGAGACTGAAATCCGAAACTGGTGCTTTCAAATATTTCAAGCTCTGAGTCACATGCATCAGCGTGGATATTTTCACCGTGACCTCAAGCCTGGTATGTGATTTTGCATTTGTTTTTTACATTTAATGTTGCAATGGTTGGTCTATGGTTCCTGTTTGTTACGAAACAAGTTACTGGCTCCAGTGATTTTCACATGACATTTTGGACAACAAAATAGTTCTACACGCAGTTCAATCTTGATGTCTAAAACACCATATATATTTGACTGACTGGAGGGATTATCACTTATAAGCTCAGGAACAGCTGCCTAGCAATTTTCTATATGAACTACGTCTTCAGGTTACAAAAAGTTCAAGAAACCTTTTGTTAGTTATAAATTGCTGTAGGTGAATAAGTATTCATGATGTGGTTGTCCTCTGTGGTTATTTTTAAATTTGTTGAGTAGTTTATCTATCATTATACACTGATGAAACTTTGCAACAGTAGTAAATGTTGTCTGTTCATTCCCTGTGTATGATGTAGTTGCAGAGTGATTCACTTTCAGAACCAGAAAATGTATACATGGTAGTGGGTAATGGATTCTAGTTCTTTTCATAGTAGCTGTGGACATAAGATCATATAAGAGGAAAAAAGAGAATAAAAGTAACGAAATCTTGCAGTACTGTTCTTTATTTAACTTGTTACATGTACTATGTTCCATCTGGGAATGTGTTCAATGTTGTTAGCTAATGGCAACAATCATAATTGATCCTATTATAACTTGTGCAATTTCAGAAAATTTGCTTGTTACAAAGGAGCTCATCAAGATAGCGGATTTTGGGCTTGCTCGTGAAATTTCTTCTGAGCCACCATATACGGAATATGTGTCCACTCGTTGGTAGGTTAATGTTTGAAGTCTTATATTTGCTTAAAGTGTACAAAATAATAGAATAATCTAATGCTTACTATTGACTAGGTATCGTGCCCCTGAAGTTCTTCTACAGGCTACTGTTTACAATGCAGCAGTTGGTAAGTGAAAAATATTTGTGGCTTTACCTGAAAGCCGGAGAGTAAATTGGTGCCATTTTATTTAATATGTTTATTTTCTATCATATTTCAAGACATGTGGGCAATGGGTGCCATTATCGCTGAGCTTTTTTCACTGCGACCACTTTTTCCTGGCTCAAGGTACGCATGGTTCTTAAAACCAAATTGGTTGCCCCTCTGTTTCGGTTGGCGTGTGTTAATCATTTGAACATATTTAGTTTCACTCTCTATTTGAACTGAGGTTGCTTATACTAAGAAAAGCATGCCACATAGGTGAAATAATTTAGTGTTGACCATTTTAATAAAATATGATAGTTGTGTTTCGGTATTTCCTTTTTAATATTTAATTTTTATACAATGGCAAAATTGACAATAGTCAGCTTAGCTTCTATCAGAAATAGCAATCAAGTTACTTTACAGAAGGGCGATTTTGAATAAGTGATCTTAGGAAGCAACTGGCTTTCTTAGAAGTTATTTTGTATAGAAAAGGCTATCTGTAACTCCATGTTTTATCTTCTTCAGTGAACCAGATGAACTCTACAAAATCTGTAGCATTCTTGGCACTCCGAATCAGCGCACTTGGCCTGAAGGACTGCATTTAGCAGCATCTATAGGTTTTCAGTTCCCTAAGGTATAGAGATGTATCTCTTGTATGATACTTTCATATTAGTGACTGTTAGTGGTATAACTGTGCTATGTCATGTTTCAGTGTGAAAGCATACATCTTTCGGAAGTGGTTCCCTTAGCAAGCGAAGATGCAATCAGCCTTATTTCGGTAAGTGTCAACGTTCAACACTCCCTTTTTTTTCTGCTTAAAGTGTTCCTTCCTCCCTTCTGTTTGTAAACACGTCCCATTAACTGATGGATAACAAATTACTATCTGCCACAGTGGCTTTGCTCATGGGACCCACGAAGAAGGCCAACAGCAGTGGAGGTTTTGCAGCATCCCTTCTTTCAGGTCATTCTTCTGACAAGGTTTACATACTGGTTGATGAGTTAACCTGCTTCACAACCTTACCATCATTGTGTTTTGCAGCCATGCTTCTATGTCCCTCCTTCACTTCGCTTCAAATCCACCGGATATGCATCAACGCCACCATCAGGTACCTCAATATCCTTGGGATATGCATACTCATGTTCTTTTTCATTAGTACATCACTACATCCTTGTTGAACAAGTTCACGTTCACATAATTGATCTCTACTTCTGTAGCTGGGGCTAAAGGAGCTGTGGATCAGAAGAACATCAGGAGATACTCCATGGGGACTGTACCCAATGCGAGGCCAACAGTTAATTACTCGTACTTGAGCAATAACGCTCCAGCAAGAGCAGGTATGTGTTTGGGCTGGCATGGCCTACTCTGTTCTTATTAAAGGATTTGTGGCTTTTGCCTCTGGAGGTTCTTACTTTTCTGCCTTGTCCACGTTGCAGCTGGTGTGCAAAGGAAATTGGAGTTGGATCATCAGGTGAATATAATTTCTTAGCTGTTCATATAGCTGGTTGCTTTACATTTTCAGCAACTCAATATTTGTCATTATCTTTTACAGCTCCCAGACACTAACCATAAGGCGACAAAGGCGAACGTGATGAATCAGTCTTGGTCCAGACCAGCAGCAGTAAGGAGCAATGGTGAGTACTGTTGCTGATCATTCTGTGGATGTATACCTGAAAGGATCTTGTCTAGTTACTTTGAACTAACATTGCAAGCTTTGGTTTCTGGGCAGGGAATTACCTTGCCAAGGATCAGAACCCCCGTGCACCTGACCTTGCCGAGAAGCTGTCTCAGCTGTCAATGGGCCCCAACAGGGTGTCGGGTTTGGGTTCTGAGAGGTTTGCTACAGACCTGAAGTATCGAACCCATGGGAACACTGTCAAGCGCCCCTTGCCCGTGGGATCCAGGGCGTGGCATGGCCCAGCCGATCCCTTCCGGCGCCCATACGAGATGCCAGGTGATAGGGCTCTCCTTCCAAGGAAGCTCGTAAGCTGAAGCTGAAGCTGAGGCTCCAAGAAACATCTCCAACGCTTGCCCTCCCGAGTGTCACCGCTACTCTTTCACCGGCTACTTACCTCAGAATAAACCACCAATCTCCTTTGCAGCAGTGTATGTTTCCCAGCAGTACCGTGCTTGTGCGTGATGAGAATAAGAGGCGTCCTGGTTCATGCACCCATCGCCCTGGTCCCTGGGTCCGAGGGCTCCAGGGTGGTTGGGCGCATGGCCGAACGTGTCTCCATGTGACATTGTTTTTATGCTTTGCGATGTGTGACTGGTTTCAGTTGTTTACTGCATGGTTTTTTTTTTGCTCAAGCAAACTTATTGATCATTGAGGAACAATTCAAAATCAGCGAAACATCAGTTTTGGTATTGAAACCTAGTACACGTTTGGTTGCTCCCACGCAATCTCGCCCAGGCGGGCGAGCTGTCTTGGCTCTCCCACACCACCATCTCGATACTCGAACATCTTGTTTTGGCTCTCCCACAGGAACATCTCGATACTCGATAAGCAGGCAAGGGAACCAAACACTGCTCGTAATCGAACTTGATCAAGCACGATGCACAGGAGGGATCCAAACCCACAGGCCTTTTCGGTATTCTTGGGAGAAACCACGGCCCCTAATTCTAATTTTGGACTGAGCAATGACTCAGAGTACACGTAATTTGCATCTCACGATCATAAATAATTTATATGGAGCCTGGGTCAACCGGACAAGAAATCCAAAACCTTGAACAATAGGAGCAGGAACAGATATCCTTTTTGTGTATACATAATACCACAAACTAATCTGAAACCTTTCACATTTATAAGAATATAAGACAAACTAATACAAACGCAAAGCACGTTTCCACCAGGCTGCCCTGTAATTGTACGTTTATTTGATGCCTATCCCTAACTCCTGTTGACTTCTGGCAGCTTCAGTGTACATTCTGTGGGGCCTATATAACCTGCTATCTTTGGATGGAAAACTAATAGGCACAGCTAAAATACAGGACAACCGAAAGCTGTGGACACCTATGTATGGGAAACAAACAAATGTTGCTGACTAAATATCGACACTAAGGGCCGTCAAGAAAGCTAGCGTGTAAGGAGAAGTGGACTTGCCGAAGGGCGTGCACCACCGTGGCAGCTTCTCGAGAACCCTTGCCACCTGTGGTGTGACTCTATTCACATCTGTTCTTAGTTTTATCAGGAAAGGAACATCCGCCACTTGTTTAGCTTCTCTTTGAGATGTTTCGGTAGCCTTGTTTGACCAGTATAGGGTTAGCTGGAATTTTGTCGGCGAGTTTTTGCCGCCTGCAAACTGGATTGTATGCCACCCATCTATCTCGCTCTTATCGCCAAGTAGGACTATTTTCTCTGAATCCACTGAACAGAATACATGAAAAAATGTCAAATGATGTGGATAGGGAAACCAGCTACAGTCAGTACTTTCAAGCATGTTCAAAGCCTACTGGTACTGATTTATACTGATATTTATCAGTACTAGCTGACAAGCTCAAGCAATGAACTCTAGTTATAAAGTTTCCTGTTTTTTTTTTCAGAATTATATATTTATTTAATGGTTCAACTCACCTTGAACCGTGAAGTCATCGATTTCCTCTTTGTTGATTCCAAGTGTCCAACGTGTCGATGACTTGCTATCAACTGATACTACTGTCTGTCGAGCACCACCTGCAACTGAATCACTTTCTACAAGGAGCACAGGAACTTCAGACTTGCTCCATCCAGTATTACTCTCTTTGTAACTCCGACAACCATACTTCATTGTAAATGTTACAAAGTCAGTAGTCATATTTCTTCCACAAGAAAATTCTTCATCTCCAAGGTCCACTAATTCATTTGTCAACTTTCCAGGTGTATTGGAAAACAAAGAAATATAGGATACTGGTTCTTTATTTCCGTCATCTATTCCTGTGGTATCGACGACATGTACAACCTGAGAAGATACAGATCATCAAGTTACTATATTCTGTTGATTCGCAAAAAGGAGCTACTACCATTGATTAGGTATCAATACTAAAATGATCTTGATTAATGCCAAATAGTGGGATATTGTGATAAATCCAGGCAAGCAGGATTCCACAGGAGATACTCCCTCCGTCCTAATATATAAGGCGTAACCACTTTTTGTTTATGTCTCATAATATAAGGCGTGCTCTCTCACATACATCAATGTAGTAGTACTAGTATTGAGAGAGAGAATTAAATGTGTCCTTGGTCTTTGTACCAGAGGTGGTTACGTTAAATACTAGGACGGAGGGAGTATGAACAAGCATTTAGGAACTCAAACATGCAACAAACCATCATGTTGTAGCGACTATCCCCAACAAAATGAATCATGGGGCCACATAAGGTTACTTTCAACTCGTCCCTCAAAAGGATTCACATTTTCCTTACACAAATAAAAAGAACGAGATGGCATCCAAACCATTGATAACTAGTTTTGAGATGCAGTGAGGATATGGTGCAAGTAGCATTGTTCCCAATTACCAAAACATAACTGATGAGTACTTGTTTTGGTTTGGGTACCAAGGGAGAAATTTGTTATCGAAATTTCACAGGTATGCATAAACAAATATCATGATAAACCCAGCTAGAGGCACTGTAGTATAACAGTAGCATAAGAAGTGCTTACGTTTACAGATCGAGCGACATCCTCCGTAAATGCTGGCACAATGCCACTTGACGCCAAAAAAAGTGAAAGACCAAAGGATACGAATAATAGTAAACCCAGAATTCTTTTATCACCTAAGAAAAGCACAACAGTATACAAAAGCTTCTTTTGGGAAGGTAACTGAAAAGGCAAATGCATAAAAATAAATCTACAAAATGTGAATTAGTTTAAGAATTTCAAGCATGGCCAGATAGCAGTACAGTGAACATTAAATAGAAAAAGTAGGAACCCTTTTCTGACAGGTGAAGAAATACCAGGAAATGCAACACTATGGTTATTTAACACACATTAGTTATATAACTGCAATATACATCAACATGTTGGTGTCCTGAGAACACAGAAGTGTCTGTTGGCAACTTGGCAGTGCAAATACTTATACATTACTAAATTATTACTGATTATGCAGTGAAGAACAAAACTGAAAATGCTGTACAGTGCAAGACTAGCAGATAAACCACACCCTTTCATTCTAAATGGAAGAGGAAAGTCAAAAAAATGAAATGTAAACAAGAACACAAATATTAATGAGAACATAACTTTAGCATTAAAGGAAATGCAACTATATCTAGCATGTCATGATTTACCTGAGATATGAGTGTATGAAAGAAGATACACAAACGTGGAACAGACGACAACAGCAATGGCAACCGAAACTATTACATTTCCAAGCCAGTCTGGTAGTCCGCCAGGATTCCTGTGTATCAATGCAAAATGAGGTTAAGAAAAAAATTTAGTTGCTTTAGATAGCATACTTTATGTTTCAAAAAACATCAAACATTAACTGAAGAGATGATAAACTGCAAGGTGTCTACATATTACCTGTCAATGCCTACAATTCTTCCAACAATTACATCGACCATGCGAACAGCCAAACCAGCAGAGGACACAACTGGTGCAGCCAAACCCAGAACCAATGTGACAACCTTAAGTTGTTTAGGTAGACGAACAGGGGAGAGAGTAGCTTCCAAAAAACCATCTACAAATAAACAACAGCCATAAACACTCAAGGCGATATCAAGCTATTAACATAGATAGTATCAGCAACTTACATGCAAAAGCAGGCGAAACAAGCCAGATGAGTGCTATATATGATGATCCAACCTTGAAATAAGTTCCTAGTATCAGAGCTATTAGCCATTGGACAAAACCAGATTTAAAAATCCACCTCTCAGCTTCCAGGTCAATAACATTTTCCATCGTGCTAAGAGTTAAGCCTGGTTTTGTTCTGGAATACACACGTCGAAGATGCCTCTTCAGGAGAATAAATCCAATATGCTGACCAATAAATGCTCCAAGCAGTGCAGGTGAACCAAATAAGCCAATAATTAACCATGGGTTCGCAACATATGGAACAGGAAACAGACATATGTAGGGCAGAGCAAATGCTACCACAACTGGTAAGCAGATAGAAAATATCAACATTAGAATGATGCTCAAACATGATATTGCAAAGGACACCAGTGCAGGGTGTCCACCCATAAGCAATGATGTTCCCCATATTAGAAGTGACTGCAATATGATTGAGTTGTGAAACATGGTAGCAAGTCGCTGTGGATAGACCACCATGTACTTTCCCTGCAAGGTTGAACAAATAGGCAGAAGAGGGGGCAAAATAAGTTGACTGCAATATGAACTTCACAAGATCTAAAATTAAATAGTTTTAACAATTTCCTGTTTCATCTAATATTGGTGGAATTTTCCAGTAACCAACAAGGACAGATTTCATGACACACAATCAAGATCATTGGCGGCACATAATGGGGAAAGAATTTACTGCAATACCAGGATATCGAAGTAAACAGCTTTATCCTGTTCTGTGTTTCCTTGCTTCCGTTGTTGTGCATCTTTCAAAAATTTTGGAGATGCTGCAGAATGGAGTAGGAAAGCAAGCATGTTATCTCCAATATGCTGAAGAGACCCCGGTTTCAGAAGCGTCATCTTGTCATTCTACAAAGTAGATAATAGAAACAATCACAAACCAGAAGTTAACATGTTTAGGATTCAACAAAGTGGATTATCAAATATTCTTTTGACCCTGTAATATTTTTACCATATTAATTGAGGCCATGTTCCATTCCAGATCTATTGGTACATGACAAACATTCAAATAATTAGATATCACTAAGAACTAAACGGTTGCATATTATTCTTAGCCACCTTGTGAGGCTGCAGCAACAAGAGAAGTAGGCATTTACATCTGCTGGCAGCATATTAACTAATATTATCGACGACTAGGACCTTTCCATCTCCATCTATCACTATAACACATCACATAATAGATGCAAACACAAGTATACACAAGACTGGAGAGGCTCTCTTTCTTTATTGTTCAAATAACGATCTGTACAATGAAATCTCTCTCCTCTCCTCCCATATATAGAGTCCCGATGCGAAGGTGTGCTACTAGGAGTCCATGTTTTTGGTAAAAGTTCGATCCAAAAACCCATTGGGAAAACAGTTCTTGGAGAAAGAGTACAAAGAATATGCAAGTTGCATAGCCCAGCATTCCTTTGAACGTGTAGTTTTTTAGTCAATTATGTATTAGTCTATTAGATATAATATGCCCTTACTTAATCTGGTTTGATCTAGTTAGCTGCTCCTTTAAAGAGAACAAACCTAGTAGCATTGTTAGGTGTAAGCCCCCCATTCCCTCCCTCCCTCCAACAAGGCCTCGGAGCCATTGTGGCAACTGCTAGTGTAATCCTTTTGTTAATCTTTTGCTTAACTAGTAGTTTTTTTCTCGAACACGCAAGAGAACTGCGCGTCATTGCATTAAGATAGAAAAACAATCCGATTACAAGCCAATTCCACAACAAGGGTTAGTTTTTTAACACATTCATGCCCTTGAAAGATAGAACAGCCATATCCATCTTCCTAAACCCAAAATCTCCCCGAGGGCCTTAGCACTGGACAAAACACACAACACTGCCTGCTCGCTAATCTCCTGTACCACTGCTCAGACGTCAGGGACACAGCCATTACAGTGGGGACTACCCTGCTGTATTCCCAGTTCAAAAAAAAAAAAGGAAAACGCAGTGGTTCCGATGCTTCCAATATGTAAGAGTAGCTTAGCAGCTCAGAAGCTGATAAGGCTGGCTGATCAAGAGCAAGTGTCTTACCCTCGAACCTCAACACTGCCACATCATATATCTTCTAGAATTAAACAGCTCAGTTAATACTTGTGAAGCAACTTGATCTGCAATCTATTTCTCCTTTTTGTTAAAACTGTTACTTTTGATTTGGAACCAAAATTTCAGTTTAAACTCTTAATGTTCATCAAGCAACATTGTTAAAGAAGCTTAGTCATTGAGTGAGGCTTCATAAAAAAATTACTTTCCAATTTTTAAAAAACAGAAGTACACAAAGAATTATCAATGGACAATATGTCAGAACTTTTATCCACAACCTTATATATATGTATAAAGTCATAAACATGTGGGAAAGAGAAAAAACTCAGATAAGTTTGGCATTAATAATGATAAGCCAAGAGAACCAACCTTCGTATGATACACAGCTGTCGTATCGGTATATGCAAAATCAAGTCCAGGAAGACGGCCAACTTCCTCATATATTTGAAAATCGGTAGCAGATTTTATTGCTCCAGAATGAAAAACATCCTGCAATTACAAAACATCAATCCCCTGGGAAAACAACCAATATTAATCTATCATGCAGCACCAAACTGACAGATCTGGAACTATCTTCTTTCACCCAAGCAACAAAAAACTCCCTTTTTCTTCAAGTTCTTTTTTAGCACCAAATACGTTGGTTTGAGGATGGCAAACAATTGTATATACCTAATTTATTAATAGATTGTTTCTATAATCAAACAGGACAAATGAAAATTAACAAATGCTCTGGGCTGTTAGATTTCAGTTAACTCAGGCATGACCATGCACATTGAACCCCAAAAAAAACAGCAACCGAAATTGAGCAAAATCTGGCCAGAGGGGAAAAAAGAAGTCAGCACAAGAAAGTTGGAGGGAGGGAGGTGCTACCTGTGAAGCTATCTGAGCAGATGGGTATTTGGCTACAGCTGCAAAGCTTTCCAATGCCCAATGGTCAGTACCCTGTCATACATTAAAAACTTTAGGCTAAGTATGTAATTCTCCTTTTGATTGTAAGTTGACCCAAAGTAAATTGTAATCCACAGCACTCAAAACAACGAATAGTTATAAACCAAAGTAGCCACATACACCTTCATGCTTATATTTTTCTTATTTTCTTCCATGTGCAAATCTAACTAAACCTCCCATTCGCCCAATTTTCCAGGAAGACCTTTTATTAGGATCAGGCAGCCAGCAACAAAGAAAATTTTAAACACCAGGAGTCTAAACCTTTGGTACAGACGCAAGTACAAATATAATCTCAACATCCACATGGGGAACATTACAGAACTAAAACAGACCTGGAAGAGTGTGGATTTCCCACCGATACCCATAGCTTCCAGATCAACCGCAAAACTTACTGAATTTCTCCAGTGGTGCTGCATAAAAGTTAACATCAGGATTCAGGAAATTACACATAGCATGCAAGCGTGAATGTGAAACATGGCTTTCAATGACTTGTTCAAAATAACAGAATTACAATTGGTCAATTTTATTACACTTTAAGAAGTGTCATGAGGGGCTGTTTAGGACACTAATAGAAGGTAAAGGGACTCCTTTAGTGAACAAGTTGGGGAGAAGAAAGGTAACATCTTGAGTAGTATATACTTCTTCGATCCCATATGCTCCTACTCCTGCAAGCGCTAAATTATGAGAAACACTAGCATTATAACCCTTAACAAGGCAGCTACCGATGTAGACCCCTGCCAAAATTCCTGCAACCCCCAAAACAACGCATTCACGAATACCAATGCCTACATTGACACAGTGGGACAACTTAGGAGTGAGGAGTTTGCCAGACACGGAACAGTTCAGTAGTTAACAGAACTCAACAGTTTTCACCCATGCATAGCGCAACTTAATGAGGTCCTCTATTGCAACAATTGTTACAAGAGAATGACAGGTGCTATTATAGTCTAGTAGCAGTACTTAACTACTTAATACATATACAGTAATACTATATACATCCAGGGTAGCAGCACAAGCCACAAGCAGGCAGGACGACTATACTACTCGACTAGCCGACTAGCCACTGACTAATCGGACCTAATTGATGACTATTTACTAATCACGATTATTCGGCAGATCGGTGCCCATACAACTAGGTGATTTGAAAACATTGACCTGGATTGAACAGGTGGTAGCTATGGCAATCTAACGGCACATATGTGTAATATGTGTATGAAGTTTAAAGATACTAACCTGAGTTATAAAACTATGGGCGCCATCAAGACCCTCTTCTTCTCCAGTATTGAATAAAAACAAGATACCACTCTTAAACCCATGTGCCCACTGAGCCACTCCCCGTGCAAGCTCTAACATGACTCCCACACATGAACTGCAATCCCCAGCACCTTCCCTGAAAATTCAAAAACACATTTAATATCTGAAAAAATGGACAAAATATGTGGATGTCACTACAATTAGATCAATTAATGTACAAAGAAAAATGTAATGATGTTTTACTGTTACCACAATGCCTACATGGATAGGTATCTAAATTATTAGTGAAATCTGCTCAATGAAACAACCAGGTAAAAAATATGGCACTGTGAATCATACACCATTATTCGTATGGTTCCTTCAAAACATATTGTAAATGTCTTATCATTAGATACTCTTGAACTCAGACCCAATAGTCAATGCCAAGTTATTTGTTGTTAATTTATTTCCTACATATTAATGAAGAGGGTATTGAGCCTTACGTTGTCGAAACAGTGTCAATATGCGAAGAAACCAGAATCAAGTTTTCCTTAGCTTCTGGTAAATATTTGGGAGTAACTCTCAATAGCACATGCTTTAAGTCTGAATACAAGAGAGTTTTTCCCTTGAAAAGACCACGAGATAGACGATTTGCGCCTATATCTGTGTGAAACAACTCCAATTGAACATCAACCTCCCAATGAGCTGTCTTCTTTATTTTTTCTGCTACTGCATATACATACTATTGCATGGGCATGTCAAAATAGGATACAAAGTTCCACAAAAAATACTCAGCTTCAATAATGTTACTGATCATGTTATTATAAGGTGCATAGACAACACTACTGCAGGTAAGAAAGAAAATGACAAATTATGAACATGTAAGAAGAGACCGACAGAATTAAATGGGTGAATCCTAACCTCAATTTGCATTTTCTTGTTACCAGTTCACAGCAGCTTAGCAGCCATTAGTTAGTCTAATTTTGACTAAGTTTATAGAAAAATATATTAACATCTACAAAACCAAACAAAGGTACAATTAAGACATTTCATGGTGGATTTAATGAAACTAATTCTATGCTGCAGAAACTAGAAGACCCAAGTGTTGATTGGAACTGTGAAAGTAGGCTGCATGAATGAACAACCTGGATAGCACGATCGAGGGAATCTGAACCAACTGGGTGAGGACCCAAGCCTGTCAAATATTTAACATGCTTAAGCGCCGAAGCTTCAGAGAACCCCCTCTTGCCAGCCTGCTCAGCATCAAGGGGCAAAGGAAGGCTTCCAAACTGGATCTGATAAACAGACCATGATCCATGAAGGAATATTATCAACAATCCCAGTAACAAGTAAGCACCCCTCCTATGTTTGCGCCTGTCATCATTTGAATCAACTGCCTGATCAACTTTGGGCTTCTCACTGGTTGACACAGAAGAGTCTTGCCCTCGAGGCATCCTGATAATCTGAATTCTAATAATGCAAACAAAAGAAAGATAAGAGTTGTCTTCACAAGTACCACTGCCAATAGACAATTGATCAACAACTAGCTCAGTTTTTTTTTTCAGGAGTACATTTTTTAAAAGAAAAAATGTTAGCTTTTTTTTGTTGACAACAGGATAAGTTCCATGAATCCAGGCAAAATACAACATGAATAAGGCACAAAATGTAAATTGGTGCGACTTTCCTCACTTCATTCCATAAAGTGACTACAGTTTTACTCAAGCACAGTTGTACTGACATCCATGGCCATGGGTTCACAATCACAACACAAAGTCGTTTTACTCAAGCACAGTTGTACTGACATCCATGGCCATGGGTTCACAATCACAACACAAAGTCATGACAGGATCACCAAACTGACCAGGACAAGAAATCAATCAATAAAGGTCCCAATGCTGCTGCAGGCTTTAAAGAAGCTGGTCTGGATCAGGACAATAGATGACTCTCTCCATATCAGAAAAGTGGCAGGCCACCGCAGGGATTTTATAACCCCATCATCATTTTCCAGTTTCACTTCCACACGCAGAAATCAGGAGGAGAAAGGACGCGGCGTGGCCCCTACCTACCTCGGCCCAGTTAAAACTCCCAACTTCGACAGTCGTCATCATAGGGTAATTTAACTTCGACAGTCGTCATCATAGGGTAATTCATTCACATAGTAACTGACGAAAGTAAGGTTGGTTTAGCTAGTACTCCGTGCGAGACTTAGCACGCAATCTCCTCCGTCCCCGTGATCCTCGGCATTGAGGAGCGGCAACAGCGTGTGATTCCTGGGAATTAGATCTAGAAAGCCCAGCCCAGACCCAGCGCCAGCAGCATCGAGGAGGATAATTGGTACTCAGTTAACCCGGAAAAAAATCCCACCCCCAAAGGGAACAAATCCGCAACAAACCGGATGGCAGTCCATCCATCTAGTAGGCAGGATTTGGATTTGGGTGTGGTAGTTGAGACCTCAGAGCAAGCAAAGTATACTAATAAGCATACTACAAAACGGAAGCACACTCGATCGTAGAAAAAATCCATCCGGAAATTGAATTCCTTACCAGCAGACGAAGACGAAGGAATCAATTGAAGGCAGGTCCACCCAACGCGACGGCGACGGCGACGCCGGTGCACTGGGGCGGACGAAGACGAAGGAATCAACTGAAGGCAGGTCGGTGCACTGAGGAGGAGAGGAAGACGACTTGGCGGATGAGATGAGAGTTTCCCGTGGTGGAGACCTGGCAGTGGCAGGGATGGGGTGGAGTCTCGGGAGACCGTTAGCGAGCGAGGCGAGGGTTCCGTGATGCAGTTGGGCTGGACGCGCGTGCTTGTCGTCGTCGACCCGCTCGTTCCTCCCGACCCCCGAGTCCCGCCGTCCGCCGAGGATTTGCATAGGGGAGGGGAAGGAGACGGAGATGAGAGAATTAATTACCACTGAGCTGATCCCAAACCAAATGCCACCTACAAAGTCCAAAGCAGTGCACTGTAAAAGTTCACTTTATCCTAATTTGTTAGTTATTATTAACTGAAAAGGCGCTGACGCGTTTACTCAGGCTTAGATGCAAAAAAAATTTTACAAAATGAGCACCGCAGCATTTTCGTTGTTATTTAACAATTAGTATCAATCATAAACCTAATTTGGCGCTTTTCTAAAAACCTTCCGTCTCGTGGCGGCTCCCGTGGATTTCGTCTAAATTGTGTAATTAGTTTTTTTGCAGCATGTTTATTTATATTTAAGTGGGTGGAGGCGGTCCCTCCTCTCCTACCCCAGGCAACAAGCTTTGACGGCATATCCTGGGCAAAAACTACTTGAGGTGATGGATTTTTCTTTTTTATGCATGGACGAATGGAATTTCTTTAATTCTTTTATTGAAAAATCTTACTTGAAAATTTTAGTAAAACATTCTAGGTGGAACTATCTTTATATCTTAGGGCCTCAGCTGTATCAAATCAAAGATCCCGGAGCACATAACCCCTGCGTATATATGAATATACGATATACCTGAATTTGCACTTACGCTCAACTGCAATGAACAACAGCAGTATTAAATTTGTGCTACACCGCTATCAGTTCACAGCAAAACAGAGAGAGAAAAAAAGAACAAATAATAAACGCTGCCCCGTCCAGAAACGGCAATCGTGTTTGACCAGATGTGAAAAGGTCAAATTATATGCATGTTCAGAGCATAAGACTTGCATCAGTAGATTTTTGTCCAGAGTACCTATGAGATAATATTCATTTCTAGCAAATATATTATAAAGAGAAAAATGTGGTTAAAATTAACTTTCTATGACTTTTACTCTAGTCGTCGTCAGATACGCATTTTATGACAGGGAGTAGTACCACATTACATGCAAATCTCCCAGGCAACACAAAAACCTTCCTTGCACAATTCATACACAAAAACCTCCCCAATTCTAAATTATAATTCGTTTGACTTTTTTTTTTACCCTAAATTTAACCGCTCGTCTTATTCAAAAAATTTATGCAAACATAGTCAAATTTTAGTCATTCTCGAAGAACTTTTGTTCATAAAGCAAGCCACAACAAAAGAAGTGATGTTTAGCACAAATTTTTAAATAAGACTAGTGATCAAACTTAGAGTAAAAAAATCAAACGAACTATAATTTAGAACGGATTTAATATATATTTATTATATTTCACAGGACCAAAAAGAGCAGTGAGCTAGCAACAGACGGCTCAAATAACTGCCTGGAACTGCATTGCCGCCACCATCATCAAATGCATGTACAGCACCAGACTGGAGCGAAGCACGTACTGTACATCTTTTACTCAGTTAAGCCAGAACTGCATTGCGGCTTCACTTGTGTATTTTGCCTCGAAGGTATCGTCAACAGATCAGGCAGCCAGAATCAGCCAGGCGCTACCTACTTACCTTGCCCCCATGCCCCTCTCTCTCTCTGCTGTCTGGAAAGCGTCATTTATCTCAACATTTGAATTTGATGATGCACTTGCTTCCCTGGTCTGCATTGTCGTTTTTGTTTTGTCAACGAGACACCAGGCATAGCATGCTCACCAATCCAGATGAATCCGTTGCAACCAAGACTCAAATCGACATTGTAGTGCTCAAGATTTTCTCCGCGGATGACGAGGATGCTGCTTCTTTCGTTTCATTAACCAATTATGGAGGTACCGTCAGCAATTGACCCCTCTCCAGCTACATAAATTTTAAAAAAAAACTCAAACCGTATCAGCGATAGCTGAATGTTGTCTCAGGTAGCAATGGCAAATTTTTGGTAAGACGAAGAGTTTAACTAGACCAGACACGAAAAAATCATAGGCCTACTTAAGATATCATCAACATAAGGAAAACTAGGAATGGAGCTTTAAGGCAGGCTCCAAACATCCACCATGAGTCTGCATTGCATTATTGCACCGATTGATCTACAAGGACCAACTTTTGCACTCACATTAAAGGCAGCCTCTATCTTTTACAGATGGCACAAAGCTAAATTGGAGGCATTGAAAAGAAACAGCGAACTTCACATTAAAGATAAAACTGTAGAGTAGTTGACGTGGCATGTACCTTTCCATACTTTTCACTCCTTGCTTGTAGGTGCAGAGATCCGTCATGCTGGAAACCACGAACTTCAGCCTGATAACTAACTACACTCAGAGTAGCAGCATATTATTTTAAACAGTTCTCATGATAACAGTGAACAAAAAAACAGATCGTGCAACAGTTCAAACTATAAAAGGATAGAGGTCACAGAAGTTTTCCTTGGGGGAGAATTAAGAAATGAGTGGGAAAAAACATTGCAACTTGTTATCGCGAGGGAAGAGATCAAGGTGAGCAAAGCACAAAAGAAGTCCCTTCATATGAATTCACAAAAAACAATTGCTTCTATGCAAATAAGGAAAATGTTCAAGATTTAAAAATGAAAGACACAACACTGGGAGTCTGGGACTGGTGTTCACTCAAAATGTCTCCATGGATTGTTCAACCTAATCAAAATCAACGCCCCCCTTTGTCAACAGATCAGACAGTCCTTTTTTCAGTGGATTGATGTAGTGTAGGTGTGCAAACATGTCCACAGAGCGAGGTGAACGATCAATGGTGTATGTAGAGTAGAATAACTGCGGTAACTGCCCTATTTCATTCATTCTTTATAAGCCTACTACTCTAGTCCCAACTCGCATGGTAACTGTTTGCAGTACATAATTTCTAGCAAACAAGGAAAATAAAATGATTTCCTGGTGTCTAATGTGTTACACTATCGATGGTAGAGATTGTTCTGTGCTCAAAACTTTCCTATGCACTGACATGGTGCTTACTGCTGACTGCTGAGCAGGTATCATTATTTATCCTCCAGAATGGAATATCAAACAAACCCCTTCTATTGCCTGTCCAATTTTAGAATGTGTAGGGCAAATATGCAGAAAAGCATACCTGAATACCATCGCGCAACTTCATAGAAGAAAGCATGCATCAGAACAGCATCTTGGATAAAATTTATCTCTAGCCTCCAGCGCTTAGGAGAAACATTGAGAAACAAAAACCAATTAGTTGTGGTCTGAAATGTAGTGTGCTGTTTGCACCATAAAGTAAATACTGTTCTATTCTAACTTGGTGACAAACATGAGTACTAAAAGATTCAAACTTAAAATGCCTAGAATTAGTCAGAGCTACAAAATCAATAAAAAATGCAGGTAAAACAAGTTCAATCTATGCAGAATCAGGGGAATGCATTCTCATATCTGCATGTTATAAAACAGTAATATCGTTCTAGGATTCATATTCATATTAGTATCTAAGCCCATGAAGTGTAGAGCATCCTAGGATCGCAACAAAATTATCATGACAAGCCCATTTTAGATAAATCAGAAGGGAGTCCACACATTGACAGAAAGCATGCATGAACTTGCGCACCTCAAAATGTCACGGCCAAGTGCCAACTACACACTGCAAACAGCAGTCCTACCTGGACACACTGCATTTTCACACTGACG